GCTCGCTGGCTGGAGTCATGGTTCCTGCATACCTGCCTTGGCTGGCTGGTTGGAGTCCTGGCTCCTGCCTACCTGCCTGCCTTGGCTGGGTGGCTGGAGTCCTGGCTCCTGCCTACCTGCCTGCCTTGACTGGCTGGCTGGAGTCCTGGCCCCTACCTGCCTGACTTGGAGGGCTTGCTGGAACAATGGACCTTTCCTGCCTGTCTGCCTTGGCTGGCTGGCTGGAATCGTGGACCCTGCCTGCCTGCCTTGGCTAGCTGGCTGGAGTCATGGCTCCTGCATTCCTCCCTAGGCTGGATGGCTGCAGTCCTAGCCCCCGCCTGCCTGCCTTGGCTGGCTGGCTGGAGTCCTTGCTTCTGCCTACCTCCCTGCCTTGGCTGGATGGCTGGAGTCCTGGCTCCTGCCTGCATGCCTTGGCTGGCTGGCTGGAACTGTGGACCCTGCCTGCCTGCCTTGGCTGGCTGGCTGTGGTTGTGGCCTTTGCCTGCCTGCATTGGCTGGCTTGCTGGAACCGTGGCCTTCTTTGCCTTGGCTGGCTGGCTGGAGTCCTGGCCACTGCCTGCCTGCCTTGGCTGGCTGACTGGAGTCGTGGTCCTTGCTTGCCTGCCTTGGCTGGCTGGCTGTAGTCATGGTCCATGCTTGCCTGCCTTGGCTGGCTGTCTGGAGTCCTGGCCCCTGCCTGCCTGCCTGCCTTGGCTGGATGGCTGGAGACATGTTTCTAACCTACCTGCCTTGGCTTTCTGGCTGGAACCGTGGCTCTTCTATGCCTGCCTGCCTTGGCTGGCTGGCTGGAGTCCTGGCTCCTGCTTGCCTGCCTTGGCTGGCTGGCTGGAACTGTGGACCCTGCCTGCCTGCCTTGGCTGGCTGGCTGTAGTTGTGGCCCCTGCCTGCCTTCCTTGGCTGGCTGGGTGGAGTAGTGGCCCCTGCCTGCCTGCCTTGGCTGGCTGGCTGGAGTCCTGGTTCCTGCCTGCCTGTCTTGGGTGGCTGGCTGGAGTCATGGCCTCTGCCTGCCTGCTTTGGCTGACTGGATGGAGTCCTGGCCCCTGTCTGCCTTCCTTGGCTGGCTGGCTGGCTGGCTGGCTGGTGTTCTGGCCCCTGCCTGCATGCCTTTGTTGGCTGGCTGCCTTGCATCACAGCTGGTGTTCTGTTGCCAGGTTTCCCAGATCTAGAGCTTTTGTCAGGGAGGTGGCTCATGGCATCATAAAGCCTTGGCTATGCATGCCTTAGAATGTCCCTTGACAACTAAAACATGGCTGCACTGGAGGATTCGGTGACTTTGTCCTGACAGTTGCCCTGTGTGTCTGATGAACCTGTTGAATTCTGCTGCGCTCCATTTTAAGGCCATTTCTCTATCTTGTTTTTACTGTTGGTTCCACTAAAGATCTGTTGGTTGTATCAATCAGTTTGTGGATGATGCTAAGCTGGGAGGAGTTTAGACCTCCTTGAGGATAAAGAGGCCTTGCCTTGAGATCTGGACAAAATGGCCTGGGCAATGGCCTCATCAGCACAGCCGCAGCCCTCGACCACCGCCTGCACACCCCATGCGCTTCTTCCTCCTCAGCCTCGCCCTCCTCGCCCTGGGCTGCATCTCCACCACTCTGCCCAAAGCCGTGGCAGGGTGCCCCGCTGTGCCAGAGCTGGCCTCCCTGGTGGAACTGTTGTAACGAAAGGGGAAATAGTGTCCGAGTAAGAGAGGGGAGATTTAGATTGCATTAAAGGAAAAAGTCTTTCATGACAAGAGCGGTGAGGCAGTGGCACATGTTGCCCAGGGAGGTGGTGGAAGCTCAATCCTTGGAGGCATTCAGGGAGAGGCTGGAGCAGGCTCTGAGTGCCTGACCCAGCGTAGGGTCCCAGTTCACTGCAGGGAGGTTGGACCAGATGACCTGTAAGGTAAAGTATTCTATCATTCTGTCATTCTGTGACTCCTTGTATTGCTTAGTTGCCTGTCGAGCCCTTAGAGGCACCCCTGGGTCCTGCCCAGCACCGTCCTTGGCTGCTGATTTATCAGGGCAGATGGAGAGAGGGACTAAGCAGCAGAGATCCCCAGCCGGCTGAGTCTGCTTCTCCCTGGAGCAGCACAGCCAGGGAAGGTCATCCTGGGGTCCAGGGCAGCGCAGCCCCCGCCTCTGCAGAGCAGCCCTGCCAACTCGTGGCCCTGCAAGGAGCACAGGGAGAAAACCAGGAGCAGCCAGCCAGGCCAGCACCAACACACTGCCCTGGGCAAGGCTCTCTGGGAACAGGGGTGGCCCTGGAGAAGGGCGTGGGAGCACTGGAACCTGCAGGGAGGCTCACAGGAGAAAGGGAAAGTCATTTCTGCGGGCGGCTGCTGGGGGCAGGCTGCTCTGTTGCTGGCACAGCGAGGTGGGAGGCACGTAGGAGGTGCGCACACCACGGCTGGGTGCTGAGCTTCAGGGGCAATTTTGGATCCCAACCCTGGGGAAGCTCCCTGCAGCACGGTAGCTGCTGGGCACCGCCGGGCACAGCCCGGCTCCGTCCTCTCCGCGCCTCCCTGCGCGGACCGGTGGCCGCGCCCGGGATCGCCCCGAGCCTCCTCTTCTGCAGGCGGAGCCGCCCCAGCTCTCCCGGAATCCCACCCCAGCCATTTCCCACGCGGTGCCGAGGAGGGGAGGGGATGCGGGGGAGGAACGGGGCCGGCGCTCGCAGTGCTACGACACGGCCGTTTACGCCGCCCCGTCCTTACCCGGCGGAGGGCACGGGGACGGGGCGGCTTATTGGAGCTGCAGAAACGACCGCGGGCAGAAGCGCCGAGAAACGAACGGGAAACGTTGAATCGACGAACGCACAGAGCGACAAACAAAAACGACCGCGTTCCCAGCCGGCTCCCGTCCGAACGGCGACTGCGGAGGACGGCTCGGTGCCGACCGGGGACAGACGGAGCCCCGCGCCGCCTTCCCCTGAGCGCCCGGCGTCCCCGTGGCACGGCGCGGGCGGCGGCGGGGAAGCGGGGCTGCGGAGCGCCGCTTTCCCCGCACGGAGTCCCGTGGCTCCGCCGCCGCGCCGGGCACCATCGCCGCGGCCACGACCGCCATCGTGAAATCAGGCACACCTGATACAGCCACACCACTGAGGCTCTTCTGCTAAATTTCACTGGTTCCCAATGCTCGCTTAAAAAATAAAGTCCACTGAGAGTATCAAACGCCAACACATTTCTCAGTATCTGGACATCCCTGCCTCGTCCATCTCTGGCCAGCAGGACTAAATTCAAAGCAGTGCAAACCACCATTCCACACAAGTAGCTATGATTAATCCTGCAGATCAGAGCTCAATAAACACTGGCTCAGCACAAGTCACTCACAGAGAACAGGGGCTCTGCTACCACCAGCGCCTGCTATACATCAGGAAGGAAAACGAACCGAGGAAAACGAACACAGCAGCATACAACTAAGAGCTCCTCGTGATTGTCAGCACTGAAAGGAAAGCAGGCTGAAGGAAAACCTTAGGTAAATCCATACAGGACAGCAAAGCAGGGAGGACAAAGGACAGGGACTGATCCTGAACTGAACGCATTAGAGAACAAGAGCCTTGAGAGCAGTAATTGGCTATACAGGTAAGCAATACGCACGTCTGAAATGGTGATTTCTTCAGAAGACTGCAGGGTGTTCCTCATCAAGACAAAGGACAGTACATAAAAATATCAGGATGGATATAAGTTGAAAATTCTTTTCAGCTGGCCTGGCATCCTGGGGCAAGCTGAAGACTAGACAGACAGGACACCAACACAGAAAGAGAACTAACAGCACAGGGGGTGCCACAGAGAAACTGGAAAGTGACCAAATCTCTGCTGTGTGAGGTAGAAAGCTGAGGGTGATACCTGCTGCCAATGAGGGGCACAGTGGAACGACAGGACGGATGCCACCTGCAGCACAGACATTCACACCAGGGGCACAGCACAGAGCTACGATCCCAAAGCCATTATAAGGTTTTATTTAACAGTGCTGTGTGGGACGATTCAACTGCTTCAAGCTCAAACAAGCTGCAAGTGATTGATTAGTCCGTACATCTACCTCAAAACCTGATGTCTTGGAAAAAATAAACAGAACAGACCATCTCAAGTAGCAGATAATCAATCTACAGAACTTAATCCAGCAGGCAGTCCTGTGGCCAAATTCTGTGCTGGCAGCAAAGACTTTTTATGACCATTAGGAACATTCCCAGTTACAGAGCTACCACAACTTGGGCACTAAATACACAGACCCACCTGGGAGAACAGCAAATAAAGAAGCAACTTACCCTCCCCTTATCCAACTCCACTCTCACATTTAGAAGTGAAACTACAAGTTCAAATGCCAGGAAAAAATGAGGGAAAAAAATCACCTGGTATTTTCCAGGCAAATCACCAAGATCACGGAATCACAGAACATCCCAAATTGTAAGGGATCCACAAGGATCACCAAGTCCAACCTGATGCTCCAGGAAGGACAACCCAAACGCAGATGGTCTTTAAGCTGCAGCAGCTCAGGACCAGGCCCACAGCCCTGGGGAGCCTGGCCACCACCACTGGTATCAGATGCAGCAAGCACAGGGAGCAGGCAGGTAGGCACAGCAAGCAGCAAGCAAAAACCAATATGAGAGGGGGCCTGCTTACAGAAATAAATCCGGGGCCTGCCTACAGAAAGCTCACACCTTTCACTCCAGTAAAGCTCCACCATTTTGACAGCCAAAACAGAAACTGCCATTTCACTTCTCATGGCTCTTCCCTGAACTCCCACACAAACAGTTACTTCACGTCCCCTATCGCACTGCAACTGCTCATAATCAATAATCTAGATTATATCTTTCACGACATAAGAAGCTCACTTCTGCTTGGTGGCAATGACGTCCATTCCCATTGCATCCTTTCATGTGAGGAAAATCACAGCTGGCTTTCTGACAGCCTCCTTCATGATTCCCCCAAAAGCACCCAGCACTTCTTCTGAAGAGTGAAAGAAAGGAAGGTTCATGGAAATGGGCACACAAGGCTTGCAAGAGATGCAGTGCTCCAGATCATAGACAGGACCATCACAGTGCCAAGACACAGCTTATCACTAAAGGAAACATTTGAGAGCATTTTCACAACTTCTGCATAAGCTGTAATGATTCAGCATATCCAGCTTTCTTATTGTTCAGTTGGAGAAGGCAGATGCTCTCACACATCAATCAGCAAGCACTTGGATGAGCCAGCCCTCTGCTTTTCACAACGACAGAAATCGTTACTGCCAGCTCTGACACCTTACCAGGAGATGCTTCAGCTCATTACCGTGGACTTCATTCCTTCCATCAGCAGCTGCTCCTGAACTGACCTTCATTCATACAGTGACACCACCAACTTCCAACACGAGCTGACCTGCAAAACAGAGAAAAGAGAGCAGGATGACAACCAACACGGAGATACCACGTTTTAATATTCACGAACAAAAAAAGCAGTAACAATACAGAAGGGCAGCTGCAGCAACACAGCAGTACATAAAGAAATGAAAACCTGGCCCGGCCCTGGAGCGGAGCGGCCCGGCCCCAGAGCCCCCACCTCCAGATGCCTCATTCAGCAGAGATCCATCATCTCAGCAACCACCCACTACCCAACCCGCCAGCGTTCCTGTGACCTGCCATCAGCTGACGAGACAGAAGTAAGATCACCATGATCTTCCAAGCCACGAGATGGGCCAGGACACCACAAGAGGATTCACAGTACTTTAGATGGAGCCTCATGAAGGCAGAGTAGAGAAGGACAATTGCCTCCCTCGCCCTGCTGCCCACCGCTCTTTTGTTGCAGTCCAGAATACTGTTGGCTTTCTGGGCTACCAGCACACACTGCTGACACAGGTAAAGCTTTTTGTCTCCCAGGGAAGCCCAAGACCTTCTTGGCAGGGCTGCTGTCGAGGAGTTCTCCCACCATTTGGCAGTTGTGCTCTGGAATCCTGCCTTCAGGCATGAAAGCCAGGGAAGCGTTGCTGGTGAAGACAGAGGCAAAGAAGCCGTGAGGTACATCAGCCCTCTCTGCTCCTGTGCTTATTAACACAACAGTAGGCCCGCACCACCCCTGTGTACTCCTTTACTTGTAAGGAAACTCTATCAGCTGGAGCCTTCACACTCCTCTGTGAGTATCAGGTCCATGTCAGGTGGAAGCAGCCAAAGCTGCCCTGACTATCACAGCCCTGACCAGCTCCCTGTCGGCCAGTGTGAGACCCAGCTGAGCATCGCCTGTGTTTCCCCCCAGCAGCTGTGTGAAGAAGTTGGCTGAACTCGGTGGCCTGTTGTTCTGCTTGGCCAGAGAATGCCAGGGCAATTGCAGCTCCCATAGTCCAAGATAGTCCACTCTTCCAGTCCAAGAGGTTTCTAGAGTGTGTGGAAGATAGCTTCCTTACACAGCTGGTACGAGAGCCTACCAGGGGTGGTGCCCTGCTTGACCTGCTCTTTGCTAACAGAGAAGGACTGGTAGGTGATGTGAAGGTTGGAGACTGTCTAGGGCAGAGCGACCATGAAATTGTAGAGTTCTCTATTCTTGGAGATGTCAGAAGGGTGACTACCAAAACTGCTATCTTGAATTTCAAGAGGGCGGACTTTGACCTGCTCAGGACGCTTGTAGCACAGGTCCCTTGGGAGTCGCTCCTTAAGGGTAAAGGGGTCCAGGAAGCCTGGACGCTCCTCAAGGTGGAAATCTTAAAGGCACAAAAACAGGCTGTCCCTGAATACTGTAAGGCGAGCCGTAGGGGGAGAAGACCAGTGTGGATGAGCTGGGAATTACTGTCAAGACTCAGGAAGAAAAAGAGAGTCTATGTCCTGTGGAAGAAGGGACAGGCTACTAGGGGAGATTACAAGGAAGTTGCTAAGGTATGCAGGGAGGAAGTCCGGAAGGCGAAAGCCCATCTTGAACTTAGATTGGCCACTGCAATAAAGCAGAATAAGAAATCCTTTTACAAATATAGCAGTGGCAAGAGAAAAACCAAGGATAATCTCTATCCTTTAATTGATGCGGCGGGGAATGTGACCACAGATGACAAGGAGAAGGCTGAGGTCCTCAACGCCTTCTTTACATCTGCCTTTAATAGTCAGACCAGCTATCTTCAGGGCACTTTGTGCCCTGATCTGGATATCTGGGCTGACACGCAGAATGTCTCCCCGGAGATCGAGGTGGAGACAGTTAGAGAGCTCCTCCTCCATCTGGACAGTCACAAGTCCATGGGACCGGATGGGCTTCATCCTAGGGTGCTGAGGGAGTTGGCGGGGGTGATTGCTAAGCTGCTCTCGGCTCTACCAGCGCTCCTGGTTGACTGGAGAGGTTCCAGAGGATTGGAGGCTTGCTGATGTGACGCCCATCTACAAGAAGGGCCGTAAGGAGGATCCGGGGAACTACAGGCCTGTCAGCCTGACATCAGTGCCAGGGAAGGTCATGGAACAAATCCTCCTGGGAGAGTTCACACGGCTCATGCGCAGCGTTCACGGGATCAGGCCTAGCCAGCATGGGTTCATGAAAGGCAGGTCGTGTTTGACCAACCTCTTCTCGTTCTACGACTGGGTGACCAGACTGGTAGATGAGGGAAAGGCAGTTGATGTAGTCTACCTGGACTTCAGCAAAGCCTTTGACATGGTCTCTCACAGTATCCTTCTGCGGAGACTGGCTGCCCGTGGCTTGGACAGTTTTACCCTCCGTTGGATAAGGAACTGGCTGGAGGGCCGTGCTCAACGGGTGGTGGTCAATGGAGTGAAGTCCAGCTGGAGACCTGTTACAAGTGGTGTCCCCCAGGGGTCGGTACTGGGGCCCATCCAGTTTAATATCTTCATTGACAACTTAGATGAAGGGATTGAGTGTACCCTGAGTAAGTTTGCAGATGACACCAAGTTGGGAGGTGGTGTCGATCTGCCTGAGGGCAGGGAGGCCCTGCAGAGGGATCTAGATAAGCTGGATCGCTGGGCTGAGGTGAATGGGGTGAGGTTTAACAAGGCCAAGTGTCGGGTTCTGCACTTTGGCCACAACAACCCCATGCAGCGTTACAGGCTTGGGGATGAGTGGTTGGATGATTGTGAAGAGGAAAGGGACCTGGGGGTGTTGGTTGATGCTTGGCTGAACAGGAGCCGACAGTGTGCCCAGGTGGCCAAGAGGGCCAACGGCATCCTGGCCTGCATTAGAAATAGTGTGGCCAGCAGGAGCAGGGAGGTGATCATCCCCCTCTACTTAGCACTGTTGAGGCTGCACCTCGAGTACTGTGTTAAGTTTTGGGCCCCTCACTACAAGAAAGACATTGAGGCCCTGGAACGTGTCCAGAGAAGGGCAACGAAACTGGTGAGGGGTCTGGAGCACAAGTCTTATGAGGAGCGGCTGAGGGAGCTGGGATTGTTCAGTGTGCAGAAGAGGAGGCTCAGGGGAGACCTCACTGCACTCTACAACTTCCTGAAGGGAGGCTGTGGTACAAAAAGGTCTGGCCTCTTCTACCAGGCAAATAGTAGGACCCGAGGAAACGGCCAGAAGTTGTACCAGAGGAGGTTTAGGTTGGATATTAGGAGAAACTTTTTCTCTCAAAGGGTGGTCAGGCATTGGAATGGCTGCCCAGGGAGGTGGTGGAGTCGCCGTCCCTGGTAGTGTTCAAGAAGCGCCTGGATGAGGAGCAACGAGAGATGGTTTGGTGCTTGTGGTACTAATAGGAATGGGAGGGTGGTTGGACTAGATGATCTTGCAGGTCATTTCCAACCTTGTGATTCTGTGTGTGTGTGTGAAATAGGCAGCTGCTCATTGATCTGCAGACACCTCAGATTGCTGACAAAAGGCTTCTGCCTGCTCTCCTTGATCAAGCAGTTGGGAAGCAGCCTGATTAAGACCACGCAACAGTTAATGATGTTATCCTATAATAGCTCAAGTGACCAAAATGAGAGAATCTTTTTCATGGTGTACTGCATGTGAGTCATAGGCTCTTTCACATCTGGTCACTTAAGGATACAGTTTGCAAAAGAATCCCTCGTTTTATCTCCATCTATCACTAGCTGTATCCAATAAAGTCCTGCAAGAAGACACAAAAGCTGGGACAAGCTTGCTGATAACTGCTGAGGACACGCAGGAATGTCCATGACACAACAGCCACTGCAGTCAAGGAAGATCTAGAAAATACAGGTGATAAAGGAGAAGAGAAAGAAATAAGCTTAGTCATGCTCCAGTGGCACACGACTCCACTTGTTCGGCTAAATCCCTTTATAGGCTGCCCCCATTATGCACAGCAGGGACAGCTTCAGTTGTCCCAGATGTGGATATCTACTGACAGTGCAGGTGTTGTTGGACAAGGGAATGTCCTGCCACGCTCTGGGAGTAACAGCCTACATTTCAACAGATATTTGCATCTGCACAGCTCCTTCCTATCCTTAATCTCCACATGTGAGCATTAGTGGCTCACAAATTAGCAGTAGTGAGGTACCTCACAGGAAGGTGTCTATGTTGTGGACATCTGATCTGAGGCAAGAGGAACTGAGGGGAGTATTGGGAGGGGGGGAGAGGATCAGAATGGGGGAATAAGGAGGGGAGGGATGAGGTGAGGGTGGGGAAGGGACCCGGGAGTAAAAATGGAGAACTGGGTGGGAGGCGGGGGGGGGTTGAAAAGGAATGGGGGAACTGGAGTTGGGGGGGCTCTAAAGGTCAGTGTTGGGGGGGGATTGGGGGGAGAGTGTGACCCTGGGGGTCAGAAAGAGGGACTGGGGGAGTTTATGGCCGAACCGTGGAGGGGAACGAGGCAGCGATGTACCCTGGATTGGGGGGGGACGGGCACACAGCGCACCTCCCCACACCGAGCAGAGGCCCCGAACACCACAGAGGCCCCACGGGGCCAACGCAGAGCAGCCCCCGCCCCGGTGCCCCCGCGAACACCCACTTGTAGAAGCTGAAGCGGCGCTCGGAGCCCGGAGCTGCCCTGCGGCGTTGGAGCATCGCGCGGCCCCGCACTACCTCCTCACGGCCGGCTCGGCCTCGTGGCGCAAGGTGATGACGTCACACGGCCCCAACGCGCCGCTCCAGTAACCGCCTTCAGCGCGGGCAGAAAGTAACCGACCTTTTATTCTCATTATTGCTACTAAAAATCTCTGCTGTCTTTTGCGAATTGCCGTAAATTTCCACTCGGCACACGCAGGTGCGTTCTGCGTTTCCCCAGTTGCTCCGCGCCTCCAATCTGGCACGGCCGAAGGCTTTGCGGGGCTCCTCCTGCTGATACAAAGCGGGAAGCGCCGCGGCACATCCGCACGGCTCCCTTTGCCAGCCGCAGAACCCCGGCTTGCTCTGCTCCGCTCCCTGGGCTGCCGTGGGACGCCAGAGCGGCGCTGCTGATGGGGGAAGGCAGCTGCACTCCTCCCTCCCGCCAGCAGTCGTCCCTCCACACCCGCAGGAGGACGGTTTCCCTCCCAGCAGCCTACCGCACGCACTGGCCGTACCTGCGCGTGGAAGGTGTGGGCGATCTCTCCGTCCACATCGTAAACAACCAACCCCAGGAGAGTTTCACCTTCATCCTCATCTGCTCCCTCAAAGACAAGAGATGACGGCAGTCACACTTAGGCAGGCCTTGCGAAAAAGAACATGCAGAGGCCGAAGGTGGGAGCCCCTCTCCCCCACATCAGCTCTGGCAGGATTGGAGCACAAAGGAGGGTGAGCCTGAGTCAGGGCACCTGGAGCAATTGCTCCCAGCTGCTCGGCCATGAAGAGGGGCTCTATGGGGTTTTATGGGGCTCTGTGGCAAAGCTTTTCCTCGGGGCTTTCCTCCTGAAGAAGCAGTGGGCAGAGACTTACTGAGACAGCAAACTCTTTGGGGGCACTGCTGACTTCCCCAGAGGGAGAAACTGCCTTGGAGATATGCCAGGCGGTGAAAGCCATGGGCTGGAGATGCTGATTCTGAAGGTGCTTGTGCTGGAGCTTGAATTTCAGCCTGCAGATAGCTGGCTGTGGTGGTTGGTGATGCCCGCAGCACATGGTGTAGGGGGCTTGCATAGGAGCTGAGGAGGCATGAGAGGGTCGACACCCTCCAGTTCCTGGGAGGTCCCAAATGTCCTTGGGCAACAGAGGGGGTGACAGTGGATGTGGGTGGCTGGGACAGCAGACTTTGCCTGAGCTCAGGATTGGAGTAACTCAGTTCCCGATGAGAGCACATCACATCCAATCCTACTGTCCTGCTTTCTTTCTAAAGGAACTGACCAAGAAACTGAGCAGGATGCACTGCAGGAAGGCAGCCATCCCACCCTGCCGGTCTCGGACAGTGGAACGCAGGCAGCGTCAACAGCTGGCACGCCAGGTAATTTCTGTGCCGCGTAATTTCATCCAGCATCACTAACCAGGTCAGCAACCTTGCACACCAGGTCAGCAGCCAAACCTGAGCGTGTGGGCACAGAGCACATGTCAAAGAAGCCAGGGATGGCCCTATGAAAATGGCTGACCTCAGTGGGGTGTGGAGAGTTGTTCCAGCGGCGTGCCAGAGGGGGGACGTGCAGACCTCTGTGACGCTGCTCAGCTCCCACCACTCGCAGTTCCCAGAGAGTTGTGTAGCAGGTGAAGGGACTGTGGGACATTGTCTCGTTTCTTCCAGGCATGAATGCAGGAAAGCACAGAGGCTGCTGTTCACAAATCTGAGCAGAAGTGCCACGTCACAGCCATGGTAATGTTCTCAGCTGTGCTGCTGTCTGCATGCTGCTGGCCTGTGGTGCCGTGATGTGGATGTGCCAGAAATACCTGTGAGTTGCCTTTTCCCCAAAACACCCGATTGCTGCACTTGGCAATGAAGCATCTGTAGTGCCAGGATCCTGGACGGCCAGATCAGCTGCTGGCAGCGCACTGCCAGGACTAACAGCTCAGATTTATCTGAAGATGAAATTGCTAACCGGAGATACGGATTGTTGTACCAGGAAATGGAGGCTGATAAAGCAGAGGTACCTACCCCAGTGTGTAGCCTAGTCTAGACAAAGAGTTCCTTAGGTCAAGCATAACCTTGTCATTTAAAACCAGTCCATCTGTGTGTTTCCTGCTACCCCTCCTAAGTCCTTGCAATTTTTTTCTTGGAAAATTGTCATGCAGCTGTTCATAGTGTGGTGCCCTTCAGTCATGTAATGAAGCAGGCTGGCAGAAATGCATTTCAGGAAGGTGAATGAAGCTTCACACTGTGAAGGCACACGGTGTCTCACAGCTTTTGTACTTTATATGTATAATTTAAAATGCATTTCCAGTCTTTTCTTTTTTCTTTTTATAAAAATACTGAAGTCACTGCGCTTTTTTTATTGGTTTTGGTGTTCTCTTTAAGCCTGTAAAATCTGTTATCGAATTGCACTGTCATCAAGTATCTTTCTGCCTTGCCCTTCCTTTTGTTATTTCTTTTGTTTTATGTCTGGCCTATTTTTATTTTGCAAATAGAAATGTTTTACCCATGTTCTTGTTTAGTAAACAAATGATGACTTGTTCTGATCTTCACTTCTACTTGGGCATCCAGCATGGCATTTAATGGATTTGCACAGGTTAGAAACAAGCAAATTTTGAGTGTTTTCTTCTGTTTTGTTGGGAGGAGATTAAGACTAGCTGTACAGTTTTGAAAACTCTGCTCTGCAGACCAGCTACACAGTAATGTCCTGCTGACACGAATCCTGAACTTGTCTGCCCTCAGAAAGTCTTCCTGGATGTTCCTAGAAGGCTGCTAATATTCCTGGCGCTCTTGGCCTAGCTGAATTTAATTGGAAAACTTCCACTAGCTTAGCAGGACTGTCTTCTTATTTTCCAAATGAAAGAACTGGATTCGTATTTTTCTTTCTCTCTTTTTTGGATTTTTCTAACAATCTCAAAATCCTGTTGTACAATCAATGGATATTAAGATGTTATAATCACAAAAGAACAAGAGAGTTAGGCAAAGTAGACTAAGATAACAAGAGAGAATAAACGGAAGGCTTACCCACATGCTAGGCTCACTTACAAAACCACCAGAAGAGGGGATCTCCAGAAGAGATCCTTCCCCACTGGCAGCCAGCTCTTCAATAGGTCTAGGAGGGGTGGAGCCAGGCAGCACAGGTGGATTGCCTTCACTGTGCTCCTCTGGCTGACTCGTGGCTCGTCTCCGGTGATCAATCAGAGGTTCAGGCTGTGACTCAGCAGTTCCCAAACACCTGTGAAGCATGGCTTCCTCACAGCTTTCATGCCTGTTCAGTGACTCTGTGTATTTATGCGTTTATACATGAAATGACTTTATTTGTTTCTGCAATGTTGTTTTCACCTATCGTATGTTTTAGTCTGGGAGTTAAATCTGAGTTGTTTATTTACTGCTGTGATAATGCTGAGGATCTGCTCGAGGCACTGCAGCAGTGCAGTGCACGCTTACGTCTCAAACCCCAGGGCCCCCATCCCAAGTGATAATGCAGATAATCTGGGGCCTTCTTAAATTCCAGCACCTTTCAGAGGCTGGCTTACCCACAGCATGCTCTGCACACCACTGTTTACATATGCACACAAAAAAGCTGGGCATCTGCAAGGCTGAAAACGAGTCTTTCAGTGCTTATTAATTTTGCTCCAGGCCTTTTACATTAGTAAAGTATTCAGAAGGAAGGGCTAAAATACAAAGCTGCCACCACTTTCTCTAGTGAATGCATGCGAAGCTTCACCTCTCTAATTCCTGAGCAGTGTGCGCTGTGCAAATAAAAGCCCAGAGTCCAGAGGATGTGTAAGGAGCTCCGAGCTCTGCACTCCCTGTGCAGTGCAGTCTGGCAAAATCAACTTCTGGCATTCGCTGTTCAGAAATGCAGTGTGCCTGAAGCAAAGTCCTTGCAATTCGCTTCTATTCAGTGAAGGATTCTTCACCTGTTTGAACAACTTGAAACATTTTAGAGTCGTGGAACACTTTTGAAAAAGGAAGGTCTTTAATATTGACATTCATGCCTGTTTAGATTATCGATTTTCCATCCAAGCTCAGCTATTGGTGGTTATGCCTGAGTAAGCCATAAAAATCAGGTCTTTACTGGATACATCCCATGCCAAATATTGTTGCTGTGTTGTTTTTATTTTCTATAGGTAGGATGCCGCTGCATTTACAGTGCAATCAAATGAGAATGTGACAGAGACTCTGTAAGTGGTGGATTTTGCTTATTTTCTAAATGGTGTGTAAAAAAAAGGGTACTGTTTTTTGCTTTGTACAAAAATATTTGCTCCTTTGTACAAAAACATGGGTGTTTTCCATCCTCTAAATCATTAAATCTTGACCTGAAAGAATAGGTGGGTATACCATTGCAGCTGTAAATCTGTACTTTCTGAAAGTCTTTCACTAGGATAGCACTGCAAAAAAGGAAAAACAGGATGCCTAGATACTTTTAGTTTATGAAGGTACAGTCAGTTTACTTATTTATTGCACTTCAGAAAATCAAGAATGAGTGCTTTGGTCCAGGGTACAGCAGGAAGTGCTCACATGTGCTGTTGGTACACATACCTCTAATATCACTGCAGCTTTATCTGTCTTCCACATTTTAGTAGGTACCATCTTTTAAGGGGGGGAATACTGTTGAAAGCGATCATGCTTTGGTGGTTTCTGGGCTCCTCTTGCTGAATCCAGTTAGCCTGAATGAAGGATATGGAGTGGCAGCATTGCTGGGTGAACGCTGCCGTTACTGAGAGCAGAAGAGTGATTCTGTCTGTTGATGTGCCTTTGGTCACTGAGCACCGTGAGAGCATTCTGAGTATTTGTGTTTGTAGTTCAGATGGCAGGTAGCCTAAAGACTGCTTGTGCACAAGTGACTCGGAGCACATCGGTGCCATCTGCATTGTAACACATTACCTCTGATTTTAAGCCTGAAAGTTCCTTCCAGTATTAAGGCCCAGGAAACTCATTAGCCATCTGACCTGGGACAGATCTGCCTTTTGTTTCTCATTACAATTATCCCACAGGACAGACTTCTGCACAGTGTGGTGTAATATAATGAACGTTTCTTTATTCTTTGCCAAATCCTGAAGGTGGTGCTTAGGCAGATTTCTCTATACCTCACTAAAAACAAGCCTGCTAAAGGAATAGATGAGGAAAGAATTGAAAGGATATGTTTTGGTGTGGAGGTGGGTTTTTCTGTTTGGTTTTGTTTTGTTGTTGTTTTCTGACAAATGTCAGGGAGCAGATTTTCGTATTTTGAAGAATTTCAGAGATGTCTCTTCATTACAGAAGGCCTTCTGACCAGCTGCATCTTATCAACTGCAAAGCAGCTGGATAGCTTTTGAGGTTCATGTTATGCTGAGCAATGTGTTCATGGCAAATTGATCTACTGGGGTTATTTAATCTGGCTGAGTCAGCCATCTTTATAGCTGGAATATGCTGAGCACAGCTTGCAGCTCTCTCCTTTAGCTGTGTGTGTTTGCAAGGCTTTGTCCCCAGCAGAAATAGCACTTCTGCTGTTTTGCTGCAGGACCAAACATCTTGCAGGACTGGTGATGTTTACCAGATACGCTTCCTAAAGAATAAGCATAGGCCAGAATTGTAGAGGGTAAGAATTGCAGAAGAAGCGTGGCCGATAAACGGAAGCTTTGTAGGTGATTGAGGTCTCAGGATGCAATAGGCATTAAAAGAAACTAGGGATGACTTTTTTTCGCTCAGAAGGTGGTGAGGTACTGGAACAGGCTGCCTGGAAAAGCTCTGGATGCCTCTGGTCCTGATCATCCTGATCTAATGGTGACCCATAGAAGGGAGATTGGAACTGAATGGTCTTTAGGTCCCTTGCAATTTGAGCCATTCTATGATTCTATGATGTTCAATGTCAGAATTCGTGCAGTTAGTACTTGCCTATGTGAAAACGGAGTCTGCAACGTGTTTCTTACTTTCAGCAGAGAAGGGATCTTTTTGTCTGAGAACCAGTGGAATTAGGGGGATAGGGGATAATTTCAAAAATCCTGTTTGAAATCATACTTTGGGACACTCCTCACTTTGCCCTCACTTTCTAGAGCATTTCTGAGCAAACTGAGTACTTCTCCCCCATTTCTGCTGCTGCTTTCAATAACTCAGGAAGCTAGCACTCTCTTTCCTTGCAAGGGAGGGATGTAGGACTGACTCAGTTTCTGTGCAGGACACTGAGAATGAAGATGCTCTGTAGGTGATCATTAGTAATGTAAGGCTGTCCTTTTCCTGGCAAAGCCATTGGCACTGAGTCTGCTAGGAGTGAAGCAGCACTGTAATGCCAGGCAGAGCTCCCATTCCCTTCTTCCCTCCCCACCATCATGTGCTACTCAACAAATTTTCCACTGTTTACTTAGAAATCCGTAAAACAAAAGACTGAGGCTGAAGAAGCTCCACCTGGGGAAGTCAAGGTCGAGGAAACCCCTGCTGCTGCTGTTGTGGGAAAGGAGGCCATCCCTACTGAGCCAGATGAGCCAACAGAGCAGACTGCGGTGAGTGATCTGTCCCCCATGTCCATCTCCCAGCCTCATCTGGGCCATCTCTCATCACAGTGAGTGTGCCTGCTGTATTTCAGCCATCCCCTCCGTTCCTCATCATGGCTGGTTTTGTCAGCGTCCAGCTGTGTCACAGCATGCCTCTCCAGCAACAGTTGCTCCTGTTGGTCCCAAAATATCATTCCTTTTAAGACTGGCATTTTAGCTGGAAGTTCACCTGCATGGTCTTACAGGCAGTCAGAGGTCAGTGCAGAGCATCAACAAAAGGTTTTCAGATATGCAGATACTCTAGCCTTGCATGGATCTTGCTGTGGAGCTGATTGTGTTTCACATTCCTGCTATGGGCAATGGCTCAGGCACTGCAAGACTGATTGTGACATTTATTAACACAGGGGAACAGCGTTAGGAAAGCGTACAAACAGAAGTGAAGAGTGGCTTGGAAATGGTCTGAAGCTCTACTCAACCAGTGTCAGGTTGGTTGTGTGCTGGTGGTGTTGGACCACTGCAGAAGCCACTCATGATACCACGCAAACTGTATGCAGCAGAAGGCTCTGGAGTACAGCTGTAGTTTAAAGGACTTCTCAAGGACAGAGAGATGATTTTGCCTGGATAGTTGCAACTGTGTCACTGGATCAAAAACTGGTATCAAATGTGCATGAAATGAAAAGGCAGGCTGAGCTTTAGTTGCAGCACCTGCCTGGTTATCATTTCTCCCTTGCTCCTATCTTCCTAACAGGGTAAAAAGAATTTGCTGTAGATGGAAATGGGGACAGTTTTCTGCGTGCTGTTCTGGAGAACTTTGAGAGAGAGGGAGGATGATCCCTGTCCTTGTCAAATCCTTCCTATTTGCTCTGGATTCCTACCTGTGAGAGCAGCATCGTAACGGTAGAGGAAAGCAATGCCAATGTGTTCCCTAGAATTATGAATTGGACTTGATTCTAATTAAATCATGAATATTGAGTGTGTTTAATTTTAATTTACTCCTTGTTCATGTCTATAGCAAACCCTAGAGCGAGTGACCTCAGCATCATCTTCTTATAATAACAGACACAAAGAAAGGCCCCATGGTCTGCAGAGATCAGGCTTTTCCCCATGCGTGTTTTCTTTTGAGTTAATCTAAATCACTGTAATAACTTGTCCACTCTATAGCAAAGCAAACAATGAAACTGCCTATCTGAAGCACGTTGTTCCAACAGACTGTTGTCAAAAATCCTCCATGGCTAGGCAGAGTAAATGTGATGGTTTGGAATAAAGAAGAAAGAAAGGATGGCGAGTAGAGGAAGGATGGGACATCAGTCATTGGTCAGGAGGTCTCTTCTGGTACTCACTCTACTGAGTGGCAGTAAGTAAAGTGAAGATCAGGTATCAGAGAAGCTTATTTCTGTACGGTTTGAGTTTGTTTTTTCTGTAAGGATTTCAGGAAGGAAAGAAAAATTGTGACGGAAATATTTTTTTCTAAAAGGAAGCCAACTGCTTTTCTTGTACGAAGACAAAGCTCCAAAATCTTCATTGTCTGAGCTGCTAATTAGATGGCAGGCTGGGGTGCAGCACCACTCATCCATTCACTGGCTCTGTCCTGTGACCTGTTTTGCTGCCTCACCATCACTGAGGCATTCTCAGTCCGTGTTCTTTCATGCTCCAAATGGCTGCAGAGCTTTTGGAGAGGAAGATAGTGAGAGATGGGCAAGAGAGTGGCAATCCAGGAGGAAGTCATAGGCATTAAATAGAAGTCAGACAGTTCCAACTGGGTTTATTTTCATTTTCTGTTACCTTTAGAATACAAAGTTGTCTTTACCAATTTGGAAGAGATGTCTAGGAAAACGAGCTCAGTACTGATTTCTTAAAAATTCAGAAGTAGAATTATCTTCATTTGGCTCTGAGGGGCAATGATTCCAGGAATTGCTTTCCAGGACTTGCAAAGGAGAGTCTTGAACATCAGGATTAACAACAGCCGTGATCAAAGCTGAGGACATTTCACTGAGATGCAGAATATGAAAGCATGTCATTTGTCAGCAGCAGTTCAGCGTTCATTCACTTTATGAGTGATGAGTTACTTAAAAGTGGAGTGGTAAAATGTTAATAATATCTTTCTGATAGGAATCTTTTATTGATTTTAGTAATTGCAAGTTTGTGGTGACAGCCCCTATTCAGCACAATTTCTCTGTGATGAATTTAGTGTCAAGCCCCGTTAATTGGTAGAATGTATGGCAGTCATTAGTTGTTGCAGGAGCTTTGAGTAAATTTTCTGGTAGGGCTCTCATTTAAACTAGGAGGGGTAGTGCAGAGAACAGGGTACAATTCCCTGCTCAGGAGTTTTGGGTTCTGTTACTTACAGTTTCGTAATCAGCCTGATTTTTTTTTTGTATTTGTAATATTGTAATTGCCAAACACTTCATTCCCAGAGCTCATCTTAATTGCTGCATAGAATCTTACTACATGTCCTTGTTGTGATCCATCGGTGCCACAGAACAAATAAATTTCTGTTAGGTGCTGGCAACCATTGATTCTTATTTTGGTTGCAGGAAACAAAATTCTTCACAGTGAAAGGGACAGAATCACCACGTGCTGCAGAAGAGCTGAAGCAAATGGTAAGAAGTCCTTCTTGCGTGGACTTTTGCCCACAGAAACTGTTCTGTTTTTTCTTCCCGTAGTATGCAAAATCCAAAGGATGCAGTCTAAAAGATATAGTTTATTAACCACTGATTGATTTCAGTTTCAAATAATAATATCCCTCTCACCACATCAATTTTTCAAAGTCAGGCAAAGATGACAAGTGTACAGAACAAAGAGAAATCGTAGCAAGTCTTGTTATTTTGTTGTCCTATCTGTGAAATGCTGCACCCAGAGTTCACAGCATTACTCAGAGATCAGCTGTTTTGACTTCCAGATGCTCCTTGGTTTGGAAAGAGCCTTTTTGTGCTTTGGGTCTGATGCTTGCCTGGACTTTAATATTCTCTCATTCCATCAGTCAGACACTCAGCTAAACGCAGTGATTTTCAAAGCTTTGTGTAGGCACATGTGAAACTGCCAGCTGGAAGCTCTCTCAGACACTGAACAGTGACAGAGGCCAAGAAAGAGCCTTCAGCTTAGAGATGTGTAATGATGGCTGAATCCCACCATAGGTACAACTCATGGCACCCAAACTGCAGACTGTATGATCTGGGAGAGCAGTGCAAAGAAGAGTGGTCAGCTGTGTCCGAAAGCTGAGCATGGAGCCAAGGACAGGTACAGCACTGGAGTATGAGGCCTTTTAAAGGTAAAATATTTCTTTCAAAAATGGGGGAGAACTGACGTAGAACAGTGTTCTTCTGTTCTAAGTCAGCAGAGGCAGATTGCACTCTGTTCATGGAAGTGCAGCATTACTTAGGCATTGTTTCAGTAATCCTGTTAGTCCCAGGTATCCTATTGAAGAGCTGACTGCCAGCAGGGAACAATCTCTTTCTGGAGATCCCTCCTTTGGAGTTTTCCAGTGAGCCCAGGATAAGGGTAAGCCCTTCATCTCTTCTTTGTGGTGTAATGACCTGCTTAGCCAAACTCTCTTGTATGCTTCTTAATTATAACACCTGCATCATCATTGATTTACAGAAGACTAAAGAGATTAAATGAGAACTTAAGACACAGAAAAGCATTCCAGCTCACTGCTCCATCACAACATTGTTTATTGGAAGAGTCACAGAATAACTTTTATTTATATATTATGTAAATAATATAATATAATATAATTATTTATATTTAATTAAGGCATATGTAAATAAATAATATAATACATTTATATTTAATTAAGGCATATAACTTCAGAATTAACTTAAATCCTTATCATATAAAAGCTCTGCAGGTGGTGGTCTCAGGGACCTTTCCTAGCGTGAACTTGGCTCTGAACTGCTCCAGCTCTCCGGCCGTTCGTTCCCTCCTCGGTGTGCAGAGCTGCCTGCTCTGATGCCGTGTGGATGCAGAGGCGCGGACGCGGCGCTGTGTGCAGAGGCACCGGCAGTCGGTGCGGCCAAAGCACTGCTTGCACCCGGATGAGAAGGTTCTGTAGCTGCCTTGGGAGCAGCAACAGCAAGCGGAGCGGTGCTGGAAGGATTTGCCGCAGCAGGGCTCGCAGGGCCCGGAAGCCCAGAAGTCCACGGCCAGCGGCCGTTCCAGGAGCATGAAGTGAGGCTGCGGATGGAGCTGCAGAATCCCCAGTCCCAACGGAATGGGGACAGCTGTGGGAGGACGTCACCCCGAGGGCAGGAGGACTGGAGGCAGCAGCAGAGCTCCCCACAGCTGGAGCGCTTCCAGATGAGACGCTGGGATTTGCGTGCAAGGACAAAGCGGCAGCACCGCTGCTGTTGGCAGGAGAGCCTGCAGTGAGGAAATGGATGGGAAGGCTCAGGATGGGTGCACCTGCCATACTGAAACACTGCTGCGTTTCAGTGCTGCAGAAGAACGCTTATCAGCACCTGTTTAATCGCTGGTTCCTTATGCAGAAACTTACTTGGGAACCCAGGGCTTGGTGCTTGCTGTCCTCCCAGTCCAAGAGAAGATAATGGTGGAGTGACCGCTTTCTCTCTCCAAAGTAGCTGAAAAAGTTCCAAATACATCCATGAAAACTACATTCCAACACAGGCAAGCATCTTTCAATCCACGCTTAAAGCGAAAACCCACGTGTACCGACCAACTGAACGTAACTGAGAAACTGAACCAAACGCTGGCCACAAGCAATGGCAGCTTTAAACAAAATGCTCTCAGGCTGCTGTCTGCAAACACCCTAGGAGCAGGAATCTGTTGGCAAAAAGTAATTGCCATCACCAGAACCTCTGGAGCTCTCATTCTTCTCTCCCTTGCTCTAGTTTGTTCCATGACTCTATCTGTATCGCTGCTTTGGCTCAGTCTGCTCTCTGAGCACAGAACAATCATCTGTGCTGAAGTCTGAACCCTGAGCTGTGCCTAAAATGGGAATCCTAAGAAAAACCTTCACTCCAGATTTAAGAGAAAAGCAACATCAGGAACAGAAGTATTTTACCTTTCCTTAACTCTTACCATCGATGCTGTTCTCCAGGCATTTAAAGCCTTCAGCTCCTGCAGCCTGGTTCTCCATTGTTGCACATACTGATGGACAGCGTGTATCTAAACGTGGGAAAACACAAACATGCTTTTGTTAAGCATGGCTTTTGGTTTTTTCTTATTTGGGTCTTTTTTTTTTCTTCTTTTTTTTCCTTCTTTAAAAGGGGGAACAAGAGTGATCTGAGCTACTGCAAGGAAATTTCAGACTGGACAATTCAGGTCTTGCCCCACTTCATGAGCAGAAACTCCTGCTTTGGATAATACGTTTTGTACCTGCATCATTGGTGAGGCCTGTGCCACACAGTTATCAGGAAGAGGCAGGGAGAATCATAGACCTGTTTGAGTCAGGAGGGACCTTTAAAGCCATCTGACCCAACTCCCCTGCAGTGAACAGGGACACCTATGGCCACATCAGGTTGCTCAGTGATGGCAAAGCCTTCAGGCCAGCAGCTCCTGCTGTTTTCTACTCCCTGCACAGAACAGTGAAGGTATGAGGGCGTTCTTACGTTCCCCTCGAGTTGGGCATTTGCTGAGTCAAGAGCGGCCACCTGAAGCACAGGAACCACTGCTACCCTGAACGCGTCACAGAAAGCTCAGTTGTTCCAAATACTTACGTAGAGTCCTGTGCCCTCCTTGGCACTGCAGGTGTCATACCCCAGGCACAGCTCCTCAGGGGAGATCTCTGGAAAGCCTGCAGGGAGGCAAACAATCAGCATGCTCCAAAGGGAATACAACACAAATACAAAATTGCCCTCTAGAGTTACAGAAGAAACTGCCCTTGCTACACTGCCTGGGACCAGTCAGCTCTACTTGGAGACACAGAAAGGACTCCTGGTGCAACTTCAGGGGTGCAAACACACCAAGGAAATACCGTAATCCAGTGCCCCTACCTGTTGCATCACAAGGCACGTCCTCACCTTGCAGTGCTTCCATTGAGGCACAGCAGTGTGGACAAGGATAGAAATGCAGCCTGAACAGTAGCAGCACTCCTAAAAATGGGACTGACCTGAAACATTAGGCTTGCCCTTCTCAGGACAGTAACACGAAAACATCCACTGTCCAGAAGATTCCCAGGTTGCCATGTCTTCTGCTACCCAGTCACTAGGAAACACAACATGACAGCAAAAGAAGAAATTACACAGTCAGAAGCCAAAGGGCAAAAAGCAAAGTCAAACTCAAATAGCCAAAGCCGCGCCAATGAATTCCATAGGACGCTGCTCAGAGGGAACAGCTGAAGAATGCTACAGCTATCTTGAAAGACACAGCAGTCGCTCTGCTGGACACACAGTTGTCCAACAAAGCGTTTTATCGCAAGTAAATCACAACAGGTCTGGAAGAGAAACAAAACCCCCGTGCTTCCTATGGTCCCCACCACGTCCCACCTTCCATCCCCCAGAACGCATCCTCTCCATTATCCACAGGAAGCCAGTAAGCACTTAAGCAGCTCATTGCGAGCGCTTCCCAGGGGACAGGGTCGTCACTTACGCAAGTCTCTGCTGTCCATCTCTGTGCTCATCAGCCGGGTTTGCACTGCTTAACGCAGAGCTCGCTTTCTGCAAGGACGCTGCGCCTTTCTTGCCTGCTGCTCCAACCCCAGAGGCACCAGAGAGTCCTCCTCCATTGCAGCTGCCACCCGAGGAGCTCTTTGTGAGCACAGGAGGCTGCACAACGGCTGCGGGAGCACCCCGTCCTCCTGCAGATCCTCCTTTGCGCTGCAGCACGGCTGGCTGGAGAAGGTTTGTGTTTCTCTGGGCACGAACAACACGTCCTCCTCCATCACCTCCCATGTGCTGGGGCTGGCTAGGATTTGTGTCTATCTGGGTAGCCATCACTCAATCCTTTTTCAGCTCCTTCCGTGTGCTGGATCACAGATGGCTGGCTAAGGTTAATATTTGTCAGAGAAGTGCCCCCCCATCCGGCTCCAGTTCCTTTCATGTTCTGGAGCACAGACGGCTGGCTAAGGTTTGTCGGAGTAGAATCTCCCAATCCTCCTACTGCTCCACCCTTGTGCAGAACCATGGGTGGCTGGCTAAAATTTGTGTCTGTCTGGTTAGAAGCTTTAGATCCCCCTACAGCCCCTCCCTTACACAGGGACACGGCTGGGCGGATAGGATTTCTCTTCCTTGGGGTACCAGCACCGCATTCTTCTACAGCTCTTCCCATGTGCAGCATCACAGGTGGCTGGCTAAGCTTTGTATCTGTCGGTGTAGCATCTCCCCATCCTCCTACAGCTCCTCCCGTGTGCTGGAGCACAGGTAGCTGGCTAGGATTTGTATGTGATGGAGTAGCATCTCCCCATCCTCCTACAGCTCTTCTCTTGTTCTCAAACACGGTTCCTGTCATGGTGTTATGATTTTTGGTCATCAGTATTCCACACCATAACATCATGTAATGCACTGGGGGGGGTTTGACTTCTGCCAAATGTTCGTCCGACGGAGAAGAACTACATTTCCCCAGGAGGCTTTGCGGTCAGCAAGGAGATAGAACTCTGTCCAAGGTCACCTGAGTTCTTCTTCGCCTGTGCTTCACCATCTGCTTTTCTTCAGTCACTCCACTGGACTGCACTTCTCACCTCAGCTTGTGGTGAGGTCTGTCTACCATCCAGACAGACTCTCTCTCTCATTGTATTTTTCTAATACTATATTTAGTAAATCATTTGTTCCAGCTCAGATTATTGCTGTTGTTTTCAAGTATTTGGGGGTCCCGTTTCCCCTTTCCCGGAGGCGTAGATCCGCAGATCCCTCCGCCCTGCTGGTCACGGAACCGGGCCGAACCAGCCTGTAAACCGCTGACAGCTCCTCTCTTGTACTTTAACATGGCTGGCCACATAATGTGTGTGTTTCTCGGGGTAGCAGCACCCCATCCTCCCACAGCTCCTCCCTTATCCTGGATCATAGTTGGCTGGCTAAGATCTGTGTTTGTCTGAGTGTTTCTCGGGGTAGCAGCACCCCGACCTTCTACAGCTCCTTCCGTGTGCTGCATCATGGGTGCCTGGCCATGCTTTGTATTTCTTTGTGTTGTGTCTCCCGATCCTCCTACAGCTCCTTCTGTGAGCTGCATCATGGAGAACTGGCTAACGAGTGTGGAAATCTGGCTAGTGTCTCCCAATCCTCCTAATGCTCCTCCCGTGTGCTGCGTTATGGATAGCTGGCTGAGCATGCTGGTTATCTGATCAATGTCTCCTGATCCTCCCACAGCTCCTCCCTTGTTCTGGATCATGGAGGGCTGGCTAAGATGTGTATTTGTGTGACTATTGTCTCCCCATCCTCCTACAGCTGATCTCTTGTACTTGGACACAGCTCGTCTTCTGTACTCGAACATGGCTCCTGCCTTGTACTTTAACATGGCTGCCCGCACAATGTGTCTGTTTCTCGGGGTAGCATTACCCCATCCTCCTCCAGCTCCTTCCATTTGCTGCATCATGGAGGGCTGGCTAACGATCATGGTACTTGGGGCACCCCATGCTCCGACAGCCCCTCCCACATGCTGGATCATTGTGGGCTGGCTGAGGACTGTGCTTATCTGGTTTATGGTACGCCATCTTCCTCCACATCTTCTCAAGCGCTGGAGCACGGATGCCTGGACAGCATTTCTGCGTCTCCGGGAAGCGGCACGCCATCCTCCTCTGGCTCCTCCAATGGGACCTGATAATGAAGAAGAAAGGATGCAAAGCCATTCGCACAATGCCGACCAAGCCAGCAAGAAGTTGGAAGCAAAACCTGGGTGTCCTGGTGGACGACAGGTTGCCATGAGCCAGCAGTGTGCCCTTGTGGCCAAGAGGGCCAATGGCATCCTGGGGTACCTCCACATTTAATGCTAAACCAGGCTGCCCAGGGCCCCATCCAACCTGGCCTTGAACACCTCCAAGGATGGGGCATCCACAGCCTCTCTGTTCCAGCACCTCACCACTCTCTGGGTAAAGAATTTCCCCCTGATGTCCGACCTAAATCTCCCCTCCCTCAACTTAAAACCATTTCCCCTCGTCCTACACATATCAACCCTTTCAAAGAGTTGATTCCCCTCCTGTTTGTAGGCTCCCTGTAGGTACTGAAAGGCTGCAATGAGGTCACCCCGCAGCCTTCTCTTCTCCAGGCTGAACAAGCCCAGCTCCCTCAGCCTGTCCTCATAGGGGAGCTGCTCCAGTCCCCTGATCATCCTAGTGTCCCTCCTCTGGACCCTCTCCAACAGCTCCCTGTCCTTTTTGAACTGCAGGCTCCACACTTGGACGCAGTGCTACAGATGGGGCCTCACAAGAGCAGAGCAGAGGGGGACAATCACCTCCCTGTCCCTGCTGGCCACCCCTCTTTTGATGGAGCCCAGGATCCCATTTGCCCTCTGAGCCACAAGAGCACACTGCTGGCTCATATTCAGTTTTTCATCTATCAGGAAACACACACTTCCTCGACGGCACAGCCGGCTGCACGCCTCCTGGGTGTCCTTGCCTCTTTCCTCAAGACGGACTCGAGGCTTTTCCTCTGCTGGCTGCAGCGTCCATGCCCAGTAGCTGCCCTGAGCTCCTCCTCGGCACGACGACGAGCGCTTTCCCTTCCTCCAGAGAGATGTTTGTCCTCATTACGGCTGCAGACTCCTCCACGGGCGCCGGCTGACGAAGTGCATCTCTGCTGGAGGTGCAGCACACCCAGCAGCTGCCCTTTCCTCCTGCCAGCACGGATGCTGAGCTTTTGGCTGCACCGCAGTCTCTCGTCACCTTTGCTTTGCCATCAAACTGAATCCTATTTCTTCGCTGTTCTGCTGGTTGATTTCGGTTCTTTTTGTTTCTGTTTATTGTCTCTTTCTTCATTGGGTCACATTGGTTTGCTTTCCTTTGTTCACTTGGTTTCGTTTTCTTTATTGCTCTTTTGCTTTTCTCTCCAATGTTTGTTGCCCTTGTATATTGCTGCCTTTACTTCTTTTTCCTATTTCTCTTTTTTTGTGTTTGCTTTGGATTTTTTTGTTTGTTCTTTTTTTTGTATTTTTTGTATTTTATTATTGTTTTTCCTTTTAATCTTTATTTTTGTCTTATTGTGTCCTCTGTGGAGGATTGTAAACCCGTATGCAATGGTGTAGCAACCTTGTCAGGCCCAGTAACGCGGTGTGTTGCCATCACCCAGTCTCTTAATAATGGTTTTCGTCCTGGTGTTGTATTTTTATGGTATCATAGGTTGGATTTCAAAGGGGTTTGTCTCAGGTGGAGCTTTGAGATCCAACCTTGAAGCTTTGTTTTCTGAATCACCCAGGTCCGTTGATTTAGGAGCCTGGGTATTTTCTAATGTAGTGTTCTGGACTTGTTTTATAAGGGGAAGTCAAGCTTGATTTCTTTCCCGCTAATATGCCGAGTTGCTGCTTTTGTTCTCTAAGGTACTGTTTGAAAGCTCTGCTTGATTGAAGGCAATTAATAATGGCCACGGCACAGTGGACATGGCCAGCTGCCACTCTTTTGTGATCAAAATGTCTTTATCTAATCCATGGAAATAACCGGATGAGAGGGGGAATGAAGAGGGAGAGACACCAGGCACAGAAAACTGGAATGGTTAAAAAGGCCAATTTGTGTTGGGACTGTGTAAGGATGGGGTTGTGGCAACTCGTAAAAACTGTGGGATTGAGAGTAACAAGGTTCTTCTTCAGAGATGCTCACCTTGAGCTGTAAGTCTCAAGAACTGCAAATAAATGAGGGTGAAGGACAGACTGATCCACTGAAAGCAGAAGTCACAGCTTGAACCGAGAATGTTGGAGGGGCAGCGGCACGATTCCTTCAGCACAAGGTGACAGGAGTGCCACTGCTGCAATGGTTTCTGGAGCCCCGGGTGGGAGCCTGCAGGTGCTGGCCATCAGAGCCCTGCCCCAAAGCGTCCGGCTGCCAGCAGTGGGTGAGTTCACTGGGACTGTGGGGATGGGAGGTGCTAACCAGCGAGCCTTCAGTTTCCACTCCTAAATTCAGGCTTGGAAGCACGCTAAAAACGGGAAATAGATCTGGTGTAGGAAGGGGATGTCCTTAGCAAAGGTCCTGGAAAACTGGAGGAAAACTGATGAAACTGCAGATCTACCAACAAAAAGGAGAGCACACGGCGCTTGACTTGGTGGGTTTGTGGGAAGGTCAGCCTCCCTGTGTTTATATTTCAGCCATCGTTCCCCATGCTGGAGAGGCTTTACCCATTGCACGTGCATGGACAACTTGTGCAATAGCATCCTTGATCCAGACCCCATTTCCGTACGGCATCTCTTTCTCAATGGCCCGCGGTGTCACGGGGGCACCGAACTGGAAATAACGCCCTCGTGGTGTCACTGTAAAAGTTTGCCGAGCGAAGCTCTGGTTGCTCCATCCCTGGAGCTGTTCAAGGCCAGGCTGGGCAGCATGCCCCAGTGGGTGGCATTCCTGCCCAGGGCATCGGGGTTGAGCTTCTAAGTTCTGTCCCTTGCAGCCCAACTCATTCCGCTGTTCTGCGTTCCTGTGATGTAAGCAGCGTCCCTGGTGCACCACAATCACAGTGCATCACAAGCGGAGCAGCCTCCGCCTCCGCCCGGCATCCCAGAGCTGTGAGGTCGCGGTGCCCCTCTGCTGTGCTGAGCTCACAATGCCTGACTGTGACGCCGTGCCGCAGGCTTCGCTCTGTGCGACTCACTGTGGCTGTGGCGGTGGTGGTGGAAGCATGGTGCGAGTGTGGGGGGCCATGGCCCCTGCCCGCCTTGTCTTCCTCTTCCTCCTGATGGCCGTGTGCTTCATGGAGACCTGCGCTGCTCCGTGGCGAGCAGGTGGGTGGGCAGAGGCGGGACCAAACCTGAGCAGCACTGGGGCGAGAAGTCGGGCTGTGTCCCCATGGCCCTGTGCCACTCTTCCCTGGGCTGCCTTCCAGGGCAGGGGCTGGGGGCTTTGGGCAGGGGGTGACGGGCTGCACCGCAGGAGCCGGGCAGGAGCCCATGGCAGCGCTGCTCCCCAGGCCTGGCTCCAGCCGTGCCGCCGGGCCGGGCCGTGGCTCTGCTGCTTGCTGGCTGGAGCACAGCCTTCATCCTGGGAGGGAGGCATCCTGGGGAAAGCTCAGAAGATGTGTGCTGGAGATGCGTGAGCGTTTTCTGCCCCAGGCTTGTGGTACTCCCCATAGATGACTCCCAGTTTCCAACACAGAGCCCCGGCCCACAGCCCAGAGGAGGAGACAGATGTGCTTTCCTCCAGGGCTTCAGTGCAGCCTTCCTTTGTGTGCATCAGAGCCCTCCCAGTAAGAAAGCCCCGAGGGGCTGCATCTTCTTCCGTGCGGTCCATGAGGGATGCGGCACGTGGCCTGGAGGGAGTCTTGTGTGCCCTGCCAGGTGCCAGCCTGCAGCTCATCCTGGCCGCTCTGCAACTTTGGAAATCGGGACCCGAGTCCTTCTCCCAGCCCGTCCCACAGCCCACATCCAGTTACTGCTGGGGTAGGAGATCACGCCGTGCAGTGGGACCTTCTCTTGTCTGTTCTTGATTGTAGATGATGAGCTCGGTGCTCTCTTTCTGGATGACCTCCTGGATCCAGATTTCACGCCTGTGCCTGAGGGACAACCCAGAGGTAAGTTGTGTCTGTTTCCTTGAAGGCAGAAACACTCATGCCCTCGTAGTTTATTTGGGTGCAAGGTCTTCCAAGTCTGTCTGTGCCTTGAAGGGCTTGCACAGATGAGCCTTGAGTGTTTCTTTGCTGGGAGAGCTGCCATATTTCGGTGGGAAGGTCACCGCTGCCCCTCTTCAGCTGAGAGAGCCCAGAGCTTCATATTTGGGCTGTGCCATTCCCTGACCCACGGCCAGACCTTACAGGTCTCCCAGGGTTACAAAGGAGGCCCCCACATGCAGTGGAAGCTCTCCTCACCTGTGTCTGATCACACTTGTGCCTGCAGGCCCTGCTGGCGAATCAGAATGGAATCCTGTCCATGAGCCTGAGGGGAATGCTGGAGGTAAGTCACCAGGCTTCGTTTCCTTGATATTTGTTCATGTGTGGCTGATAGTTCAGCAAGGGTTCTGCTTTTCACCGGCCAGTGGGTTCTTCTCCACAGGAAGCATGGGGTGTTGTTGTTTCCTGGGTGCTCTGTGCTCTCGGCGTCGTGTTGGCTTTGCCTCTGTATCTCAGAGGTCTCCCAGTGAGACAATTGGAAGGAGCTGAATGCTGTGCTGTGAGGTCTCTGAGAATTGTTTCCCGTGGCCTGGGGAAAGTGTTTTGAAAGCTGTGGAATACCAGCCGTCAGGTCACCGGGCCTCTCTGCAGCTTTGGAACTTGTGCCCCATGCCATTAATTGAGCCCCTTCCATCACCTCAGGTCAGTAAGGAAGAGAGGTGGGCACATGCCATGGGAACGTCTCTCAGCTGTCCTGGATTCCAGCCATGTCTCCAGGCAGTGGCTGACCAAAGCCCAGCTTCAATCCGGTCCCTGAGATGCGGGGCGATCCCACAGCTGAGTCCCTGAGAGCTGTTAGTTTTCACTCAGGCTTTAATTTTCTTTCCGTGTGACTTCCTGCTTCCTCTGTGGAAGAGGAGGGAAGGTTCGGGTCAGGCTGTGTGCAGAGTGCAGCGCGCTGCCTCGCAAAGCCGTCGTTGCTGGCCGCTCCAGCCCTGAGCTGCTCCCGGTGCCTTGTGCAGAGCCAGCGGGCACCACGCAGTCGAGCTGAGGGCTGAGCTCCAGGAGGGCGTTCCTCTGGGCAGCCCCACGCGGTGTAAGTTCTGTAGGATCGCGGTGCCCCTGCGCGTACCTGGGAACTGCTTCCGAGGTGCTCCTGTGTGGAAGGGAGAGAGGAGTGTCACGAAGGAATCCCCTGCTTTAATTGCATCCCACGTCGTTCCGATTGGGAGGATGTTTAGTTAGAGTTGCTCTGTGCTGCGTTTGTTTGCAGGTGTGAGTGGAGGAGGTGATCCAGCTTCCCCTCTGAGCTCTGAGACCGAAACCCGGGCAGATGGCATGGGTAAGTCACGGCTCTGTAATTCCTTGGAGAGCTCTCACTGCCCGCTTCGGTGCCACTTCATGGCACTGCTTCCCCCGTACGCTCCACTGTTCAGCGATGCTGTTATGCATGACTGAATGGCTTTCATGGCTTGCAGAAGTGCCCCCAGGGAGGGCTTTACTCAGTTGCTGGTTCGTTCCTGCGCTGGAGCCCAGGTGGATGCCCAGGGGTGGTGGTTTGTTTTACCGATGGCGCTGACTCAGCAATGGTCTTCAAAACCTCGTGCTCATGGCATTTAACTTCATGTGTTCCGTGCAGGTCTGGAACGGGGAAAGGATGAATCCAACAGAGGAAAGTCCTCCCAGGGGTCTTACCATCCGAGAGAGCTGCTGAAGGAAATGGAAGTGGCAGCTCCTGGTGGGTATACTTCAGTCTGTTCACTGAGACTCGGGAAGCTGAGGCCTGATGTCCGTGTGCAGCCTGCACAGCAGGAGGGCATTGCTCAGAGCCGTGCTGCAGTGCTGTTCCACACGATGCCTTGCAGGCACTGGGGAGCACCAGAGATGGTCTGCTGCCACTTCTGCATCCAGCTGAGACCCAGGGGCAGCTGCTCCCCCAGCACGACCATTACTTGTCAGAGCTGCTTTGTGGAGACCCAGATGGCAGCAAATGTGAAGTGCGGCGATTCTGTTAATACAAAGCCCTCCCTGCAGCTGGGCTAGTTCAAGGCAGGATGAGCATCCCGAGGAGGGATGGCTGCCTTTGCTAATGCTGGAAACCGTGTGCAGATGTCGATTCTGGAGGTGTTCCTATTGGAGCTTGAATTTCAGCCTGCAAGGTGCCTGGCTGTGATGGTGGAATGTGATGGTTGGTGATGCTCACAGCACAGCGTGTGAGGGCCTTGCTTGGGAGTTGATTCCTCAGGAGGTGTGAGAGGGTAGGCACCCTGCAATTCGTGGGAGTGCCCAAATGCCCGTGGCAGCAGAGGAGGTCGCAGGTGGATTTGGGGGGCGGAGGCCAGCAGACTTGGCCTGAGCTCGGGGTTGGGTCAGCTCAGATGTGCGATGTGAGAACACATCTCATCCGACTGTCCTATGTCTTTCTAAAGGGACGAACACAGGCAGCGCAAACCACTGGCATGCCAGGAAATTTCTGTCCAGTGTCACCAGAGTCACTGGGTGCCAGCAAGCGCTTCCTGCCTGCTCTCGCACATCAGGTCAGCAGCCGAACCCGAGCGTGTGAGCGCAGAGCACGTGTTGTAAAAAGGCCAGGAGCGGCTCTCTGAAAATGGCTGAGCTCAGCGGGGTGTGCAGAGTTGTTCCAGCCGTGTGCCAGAGAAGGCCTGTATGATGCTGCTCACCTCTCACCGCTCCCAGTTCCCAGAGGGCTGTGAGCTTTGTCCTTTTGGGAACGAAGCGGCCCGAGGGCAATGAGGTGAAAGTAAGGTGGGACGTTGTCGTTTCTTCCAGGGCTGAATGCAGGGAAAAGCACAAAGGCTGCTGTTGGCAGATCTGTGCGGCAGCGCCACGTGGCAGTAATGGTGCTGCTCTCAGCTGTGCTGCTGTCTGTGCTGGTGCTGGCCTGCGTCGCTGCGTCGCGGACGTGGAACACATGCCTGTGAGTTGTCTTTTTCCCCAACCATTTCATTGCTGCATGTGGCAATGAAGCACTTGTGGTGCTGGGATCCTGGGCAGCCGAATCAGCTGCTGGCAGTACGCTATCACGATTTATTCACAAGGTCTTCCAAGCTTGCCCTTATTTCTTGTCAGTGAGTAGTGCTTTCTGAAACTCATTTTCAGTGTGTGCAAGAGGGGAGAGAGAGCAGCAGAGCGAGCTCATCCTGACACCAGCTGGGAGGGAGTTCCAGCTGGAGATGAAGTGGAGAGTGGAGAGGCAACGAGAGAGATCCTTGCCCAAGCCAACAAGAACCTCAGCAATAGTTCCAGTCCGTTCCGTTCTGCCATCCCAGAGGCCAGAGGTGTTCAGACTCGTCTGGAAGACCTGGAGTGTGAACTCCAAGCCATGAAAGAGGTCCATGGGAACAGTGGTGAGTGCTGCTTCCTGTCAGAGGACGGCCCTGAAAGTGAGAGCAGAGGATCAGCAGCAGAGCATTTGCCCTTCACCCTCTGTTCCCTGGGACGAGTATCACCAATAGTTCGAAGATTCTTAGCTCGCCATAGCTACAATCCTTCTGAGGGTCCCAATGAGGACCCAGAAAGCGAGCTTCCTCTGACTGCTGGGCAGCACGTTTATGTCTTTGGAGATGTGGATGAGGACGGCTGGTTTCTGGGAGAGCTGACGGATGGCACGAGAGGGCTGGTCCCTTCCAGTCTGGTGACAGAGGTTTCAGATGATGAGCTGGACACAACGATGCCTCCCGAGCTCTGTGATCTGCTGGAAACGGATGATTAAGTCGATGCAAAGAGTCCATAATGCAGCAACATCCTGTCGCAATTCTTGCCTCACTCCATCTGCAAGACGACCCCCCGCTCCACTTGATGTTCGAGTGAAGCGTGAGCAGGATGTGGATGAGCTCCTCCTGGGAAGATCTGAGATGACTGACAGTGCGACTGCGTGGTTTTATCGTATATTAAAAAATAGTTTTAAAAACTAACAAGCAGCACTGTTCTTTTTCTTTTTTGTTGAGGTGACACTTTTTCTAGCTGAGATTTTGCAAGAGTCTTGAAGCAGATTTGAACTGGTAGAAGTTGGCCGTGTTTGCATTCTGTTTCTCCTTCTTTCCTTGCTGATCAGAGTCAAGGTGCCATGCATCCACTCCCTGCCTCTGGCTGCCCCCCTCCACTGTGAAAAGAACTGAGAACTTCTGGCACAGAAGTTTGTCCATGTGCAAGGCTTAAACTTCGTGCTTCTTCCTTCTCTGCTTGGTAAAACTCAGCGTTGGGCTCATTTGGAGTCTGAGTGCTGGTTTCTGGGGCAGTCCTTAGCCCCAGGAGTGCCTGTATCAGCTGTGGCGGTGCAACTCCCACGCCCCACGTTCTCCCCTTCAGCCAGGCCTCCCAGTGCTCGGTGCACTTGGACAAAAGGTGGAGGACCAGTACGTGAAGGTTCTCCTTCTGTACCTCGCCCCTGCCTGCGTCTGGGTAGCAAACGGCAGTGAATAAGGGCATTAGGGGATGCCCTGATTGTCCCTGCCTTCTGCCTCGTGTCCCATTGCCCGGGGCCAATCCTGGAGTCAGTCGTCTCCTGGCAGCCTGGTACATCTGGACATAAATCACGGCCCATGGGGGTAGTTTGGAATGTGTGAGTTCAGCAAGTGCTCAGGTTTGTGCAGCTGGGGGAAAGAACCAGGTTTGGCCATCCAAGGGGACCAGTATGGAAAAGCACCCGGCAGATCTCCATCATCTCAGACCCCGCAATTAGAGATTCTTAGCGAGTGTGAACATTGACCAATACCTGAGGGCAGGTGGGAGGAACATGGATGAAGCCAGGCTCTTCTCGGTGGTGTGCAGCGGTGGGACAGCGAGCAGCGGCCTAGAACTTGAACTCGGGAAGTGCCATGCAGGCATGTGGAAGCCTTTGTTATGGTAAGGGTGGGGGAGCACCGAGACGGGTTGCCCAGAGAGGTGGTGGAGGTTGTGATGGGCATCTCCTCTGGGTAGGGATGCCTCTCAGGTACTGCCAAATCCTCGAGGCTGTCCGCCAATGGAGGCCAGGGCAAAGTCAGCCCACTGGAGTCAGCCTGGATTACGACCTGAGGAGGAATGGCGGCCTGTTGTATTTGCTGTAAACAGGAGGAGGCAAATTGTAAGCAGAAGCCAGCTTGCTCTTCTTCCATCCACCTCCTTCCTTCCTTACCTGTTTTAACAACACACATCCGTTTCACAGCAGTAGGTGCTGAGATAGTTCACTTGTCCACACTTGTTTTGCGTGTTTGCGTGTGTGTTCACACGTGAGAGTATCTGCACTCTCATGGTTTGTTACAGGATGTCCCGTCAGTGAGCGAGTGTGAATCTTGTCATCTGCAAATCTGTCATCAGGTCCCTGCTTAATTTTTCACCTATTTCTTAAACTGCTGCTAACCAGAACTGAGCAAAACAGATTTGCCATTTCCTGCCATGCCAAACTAGCAGGGTGGCAGGATGATGAGCAAAGTCGCCCAATGCTTACAAAAACGTGATGTCCAAACAAAGCCTGCGTTCCCTGAGGTTTTAGCTCCACGTCTCACACTGCAGGGGGAACTTTGCAGACAGATGTCACTACAGCATTCTGGCCCCATAGCCCCTATGGTCCTATAACCACTACAACCCCATCTCATAGCAATCCCATCCCATATCCATCACATCCACCCCATAACCATCTTGATTCCATCCCATATCTATACCCCCACATCCTATCCCCATCTTCTACCCCATATCCATCCTAAATCCATATCCCCACATCCATTCCATACATTATCATACAATCAATGAATATACAGATGACACAGTATACCCGAGAACTCGGCTTATGCAGTTATACTAGAACAGAAAAGAAAGACACTCACCCTACCTTAGGCTCATGTGGTAAACTCCAGTGGAGCGGATCACCAGAACGGATCCTTCTCCCCTGGCAGTCAGCTCTTAAATGGGTCTCGGAGGGGTGCAGCCAGGCTCCACCACTCCCGGCAGCGCAGGTGAATTGCCTTCACCTGTGCTCCCATGGCTGACTCAGGGCTGGCCTCAGGTGACCGGTCAGAGGTTCAGGCTGTGGTTCAGCAGTCCCCGTACACTTATCCATCCCATTATCACCCCGGCCCCATATTCTTCCCCAGTCCATCCCACACTCTTCCCCTGTTGATCCCACATCCATCCCAACCTAATCCCATACCCAGGGCCCATCCCATATATATTCCAATTACTGATCTCCCATTCCATAACCATGCCATATCCCACATCCCAATCCTAAATTTCACATCCTAATCCCACATCCCATCCCCATCTCCCACCTGTCAATCTCAATCCCATCTCCCACCCCCTATAGCAATAGAACGCACCCTGAAGTCCCGCCCCCATCACCGCCCCGCCCCATGCCAGTGCTCCTCCTATCAACGGCCCCGCACCTCCCTGCCCCCGGGCTCTCATTGGTCCGGTGCAGCTCTGTCCTGCCTCCGGGCTCCCATTGGTCAGTGGCAGCGCCGCCGGCTCCCATTGGCTGAGGCGCGGCGCGCGGGAACGGCCGTTAGCAGCCGGGTCGGAGCCGCCCCGTTTTCCCCTCAGGCGCTGCTACTCCCGCAGCCCCGCGCGGCACCGCTGCTGTGCGCCGGAGCTGTGCGCCGGAGCTGTGCGCCGGAGCTGTCCGCCGGAGCTGTCCGCCGGAGCTGTCCGGAAGCACCGAGATGGAACCGCGGCACGAGCGTCGCGGTGCTGAGGACAGAGGCGCCGGAGCTGGGGGAACGGTGAGCGGCACCGGGACAGGGGACACCTGGGCAGCCATAACCTGGGTTCATGCGGGGTGAGGGGCTGGGAGTGGGACTGGGATGCGGATGCAGACAGGATGGGATGTGGGGAAGTGGGATAAATACGGGACGGGCTGTGAATATGGGGTGGATATGAGGCTATAGGGAGCTATGGGAGAGATACAGGGGGATAATGGGGAAATAGAGGGGGGAGAGTGAGCTGTGGAGAGCTGGGGAGGGATATGGGGGAGTGGGGGCTACAGAAAGCTGTGAGGTATAGGGAGGCGTATGGATATATTGTGGGCTGTGGTGTGGAATTGGGGTATATGGGGGATTTGGGGCAATAGAGGACTGTGAGGATGTTATGGGGAAACAGTGCTATGGGGAGCATGGGGGGGTTTGGGAGGGGCAATGGGGGGCTGAATGGGGGTATAAGGTGGGCTATGGAGGGATGTGTGGCTAGAGGGTCCAGATATCATCCACTCTTTGCTGGATGAGGCTGGGAATGTGACCACTGAGGATAAGGAAAAGGCAGAGGTTCTGAATGCCTTCTTTACGTCTGTCTTTAAAAGTCAGACCAGTTATCCTCAGGATACTCCTCTCTCTGACCTGGTAATCTTGGCTGGGGACCACACTAATCCCCCTGTGATTCTGAAAGAAACAGTCAGAGACCTACTGCTCCAACTGGCCTGCCACAAGTCGATGGGGCCAGATGAGATCCACCCGAGAGTGCTGAGGGAACTGGCGGAGGTGACAGCCGAGCTGCTTTCCATCATCTGTCAGCGCTCCTTGTGCACTGGTGAGGTCCCAGAAGACTGGAGGCTTGCCAATGTGACTCCATT